GGCTAATGGTAAAAAGGGGTATCACTAATGGCTCACTGATGAGTATATAAACAATCAGTACTCTGTTTCCAGGAAGAAACCTTGAAACCATGTAGAACTTTGTAGCTTGGTCAGCAATTCCAAAAAGCCCCTGAGGCATCCGACTAACCAGCCAAGTGACCAACCAGCCTTCGTTCATTTCATTCTTTTTTTTCCCACAACAGTCATGGCATCCAGGCCGTGGACAAAGAGGGGCCTGTGCCAGAGAGATCCGCTTTTAGCTTTAATGAGAGGGCCTGGGAGGCGTGGGACCCCTGGGCTGGTGCAAGCATGTCTGAACCTGCTGTGCTGCCGCCACTACGGCCACCACTTAATTTGACCTTTCGGGTTTTACAGTACTGAGAAGAACAGGAGGATAATGTTGTTATCTAAGAATGCTGATGACATTATAATGGTAGGGAATTGTAGATGAAAGTACTGTTATAAGAATTTAGACACTGAGGAGTGATTTTAAATTGGCATGATTCATTTTTACGTCCAGTAAAACATATCTTTCATGCACACTGGAAAAAAATCAAATGAACCTTTGTCTGCCATTCACTCCTCTCTGTATCATCCTGAATTTGCTTAATTGGCCCCATTGTACAATTGGGCAGGACCTTGAGAATTGACCTGAGCTAGTTTGTGGTTTGCTAAATGCAAAACACTTGCTGTTAGAAGGCTAAAGAGGAGAAAAAATGTCTGGATTAATGACCAGACGGTTGATGATTTATAGTTGTGGCCTCTAGAACGAGGCGTACTTTTCACTGACTGCCTGTGATTGTCCCATAAAGAAGTTATGTGGTCGGTCAAATTCAAGCATGTGAACACATTATTGCTGTTTAGAGGAGAAGCCAGTCAAGCATGATGAATGATAGATGAAGAGAAGTTGGCCCCTTCCCTAGATATCTGTACACTGGTGGTGACAAGTAGATAACCTATTAAGGACATTTTAGCTTTCTCTTTGTAACAACATCCAATGCAAATATTAGACAGATTCCCAAAAGCTGAAATAAAGAAATAGAGAATAATCAGAGCAAAGCTGCTGAATTTAGAGCATGTAATGAAGTACATAATGGCTTAAAAGACTCGTTGATGTTATGTTTAAAAAAAGACGCCATGTAACATCCCACTATTAAATGTTAAATAGCACAACAGACAGGCTACTGAGTGCCAACGCTGATAAGGCCTCTACATTTGGATTTGATTTTGCTTCTTTTTTTCTTGGTACTTAATGTATACTGAATGTCTTTGAGTTTCCCTGTCCTATTGTGTAACACTACCAAACAGTTATCATAATATTTAGTCCCTCCTTTTCAGAAAAACAGCGACATTAGCTAAGAAGTGGCTAATGCTAACATCTAACATTCGCTGATATTTAATGGTAGCTGAAGGGTTATTACTGTTTTTTTTTAAACTTGTAATATGTCCACTCTTCCCTCTGGACTTCATCGTTTTTTCTCTCTTTTTTGGTTGGATCTGGTGGTGGAGAAAATGATAACAGTTCTTGTATTGTCCACATTTCCATGATTTACTTTACAGACAGCTATATGGCATTATGAAAGCATTTGAACTCCCTACTTTAGAGTGATGTCAGGCAAAAATGGTCTGTTCGGATATGATCAAAAAAAACTAAACAAAATAAATAATCAAGAATTTAATAAAGTAATCAGCAGATGAATCTACAATGAGAATAATTATTCAAAGTTAATATCGTGTTGCAATGGATGGTAGCATGCTTTGTTGGTTTATCATGATGCTTCATTTTCCCCAGCCCTGGACTGTCTCACTGTTAAATCTGTAGGGACAATATACACTCTATGCCCTAACATACTGACACAGACAAAGAAGGTCCAGAGTCAATGACGCACACAAAGAAGGTCCGGCGTCACAAGAAAGGCCACATACTTTCACACCCTTCTCATCCCGTCCTGTCACACATCTGGATCCTGTATTCTTTTGCCCTGTATATCACTCTCCCCTCCTTTCTTCCTCCCCTCGTCTTCTCTGATCCTGCTCTCCTCCTCTCTGAAGAGGGGCTCTTCTGATCAAAGGCTCCAAGGATGATGGCATGCGGTGTGTTTAACGGTGAGACTATGTGGATGCAGTGGGGGACCTCAGCCTGTTCTGGAAACCGCTTCTCTCTTCTTAGAAAAACATTAAATCAAACCTTTTGGCAACACTGAGTCTTCCTTTCATTAGATGGAAAAAGTGGATCTATTTGGGATACTGTCATAGTTACTGCTGACGGTGACACACTTTCAGGTTATGGATTGGGGGGGTCGGGAGTCTGGATGGGGGCATTGGGCTGAGGTGAGGGGCAGGGATGGGATCTGATGGCGTTGGGGGGGGGGCAGGACGGGAAGGCAGGCGGTGTGGCAGCCCTGATTTATGCGCCCGCAGATATCAAAGGCCTTTGCATTTGGCTGTTTCCAAACCATTACAGAAGAACAATAATCTATGGACTCTCTTTGATCACTGTCTTTTGCAAAAGGAAACAGGAACAAATGCATGCCTGGTGGAATCAGGGTGAGGTTATGGAGGTTGAAGGTAGGAGGTACAAAACAGTTGGGGCAAACAGGTCATGATATCGGGAAAGGAGGCCACTTCAACACAACTTCTCCTCCCCCTCTTCTTCTTTGCTGAGAGATGGGGGTTAAACCAAAAACAGGAAATTCCACATTAACACAAAAAAAGAGCCAATGTAAACAATCAGATGAATGACACTTGACCCCTCTCTGTGTGAGAGATGCCGATGGCTCGCCTTATTCTGGTTACATAAGCATCTTGTTACTGGGCACACACTTTACTGAGTTTCCCCTCCTCCTTCCCTTTTTCCTCTGCTAATCTCTTCTCTTCATCCAGCACTTACGGACACACAGGTCACAGGCGAAAGTACAGAGTCTACAACTGCATCCTTTCTGATGAATGAAATGAACAATCGCACAACCACAGTGAGATTATTTGATGTCTTCTTCTCACTAATCACTCCCTTCTTCCCTCCTTTCCCTCCCTTTTTTTTCCTGCCTGTCTCTTTTTTTTTTGCCTTGACATCAATCAGGCCGATGATGAGAGAGAGAGAGAGAGAGAGAGAGAGAGAGAGAGAGAGAGAGAGAGAGGGAGTCCCAACAGGGCATCCATGGGAGGCCACACAAGGAGAGTTCAAAGGCAAAAACTGAACCCTGACACAAACACACACAAACAGACTTTGATATCCAAATATGTCTGTGTGCAACACAAACACTGGAGAACACACACTGCACAGCCCGTGTGTGTGTGTGTGTGTGTGTGTGTGTGTGTGTGTGTGAGTGAGTGTGTGTGTCTGTAAAGAGAGGATCTATTATAGCAGGGAGCATGCCCAGTTATGGCAACCCTTTACTCTACATGGAGAGAGAAGTGCAAAAAAAAAGAGAGCAACTATACTTAGGAGGCCTTTAATCATTTGAATCATTATTTATTATTATAAAATGTTAAATCTTTATGAATAAATGGAATCTTTTCACGGAAAATGTGACTTTTTAAGCCACTTTTAAACATTTCCTTTTGACATATGCTACTAATGGTGTTGTATGTGCAGTGGGGTGAACACCTAAATGTAGAACAGGCTATTTGAATAATAAGGCTTACGTTATTTGTTTACATGCGCACCGAATTTGGAATTGCATATAAAAAGAAAACCTCAAAATAAAGTAGTTTTTGTCAACAGGTGTAATTCAAAGGCTTCACCGCATCATTAAAACGTTTTGCTAAACTAAAAAAAAAAAAAAAAGCTCGGTATGTGAGGAAAACTTACCTTGTGGCCAATATGTTTGTGTCTGGTTGGAAACCCTGTCCCCAAACTCACGAGAAGCGTTGACCAAATCACCAGCAGCATCTGAATTCTCCACGCCACCTCTAGACGCATCTTCAACACTTCCTCTGTGGGGAATTGTAAAAGTACTTTGGAGACTTCACTCAAAATGTCTTCCTAAATACGCTTCTTGGTCTCAAAGAAGTGTTGTTGTTTTGCTCGTCCCGGGTTTGTCAGCCACTTTGATGTGGGACAGATGAAGATTATAACAGGCCTGGACAGTCTCGAAGTTTGGCACTTTATGAAGATGCGCACCAGTGTCCTGAGGTATCCCGCGCGCTATCCATATCTGGCACCAGTGCCTCGCGCAGCAACTGTCAGTCCGTATAGCGGCTCGAGCTCAACGCCTCTCTTCCCCATAAAACCCACAGTTAGAGGAGCTTTAAATACCAGGAACAAGTCGAGTACCCCACGCAGAATCTCCCCGTCCGCACCGGCGCCCGCTTATTCAACTACTTTAAACTGTGAGTCATTCCGTCGTGGGTGGGTGGGTGTTTTCTTCCAATACATTGACATCTGGAGCTCATAGTATGCGCTGCGTCTTTGCTATCTGTCTGATGCGTTAATCCATTATCCACGTGAAGTTCATCCACCGGTTCGTGCATTTGTGTGCGTACAGCCCAGCCAACCGGTTTCGGTAAACTCGTCTTTTACGCACGCATTCAGGAGGTTGGTGCTGCAGGAGTTGGGGGTGGGAGGCTTATTGCTCACAGCTGTGACGAGGGGGGGACTGGGGCCACTGGGGTTCCTGATAAGGTACACGGTTTAGTTTACATAGAAACTACAGAGGTCTAAAATCGCAGGTCATGACGTGGACGTTTAACTCGGTCACTGGGAAAGAACATTCAATATACCTGAATCCAAAAATGAAATACTCCGCCAGTACCTTATGTCATTCTTTCTACAATCCTCATTTTCCTCTGGCCCTTTAATAAACTGTCAGGATAAATAAGTATCTCGTGCCAGCGGTGCCACTGGTGAACAGTTTAATACCTTTACAACTTTAAGACAGTAGTGAATGACTGGCCAGTGAGGAATGCTGAGTAATATTTCAAACATGTTAGTAATGAGCTTTTAAATGTGGTAACAGTCTGTGTGTGAGCCTGCTGTAAATAAACACAAAACCATCCTATTTGATACAAAGAAAATGATTTAATCAGCACAGTTCCCATCAGCATGGTCAACAAACATCATGGTTTTACAAACTCCTGGTTTATTGCTAAACCAAACACAACTCCACGGGCAAAAAACAAGTGATAGGCAAGTTTGCCAATGGTCACTGCAGGTCATCCTACAGGTGAGTTGTAGGGTGGCTAGAAAATGTCACGATACATCGAAGAGCTACGAGCGCCTCAGACATTTGAGTGATCTTTTGACTTTAATTCCTCAGGTTTAGCGAGGGAAACCTGGCCGAGAGAAGCAGTCACGTTGCTGTTTGCAATTACATTTCTGCCTCCATAGACAGAAACGTAGAAGCTAAACTTATTGCACCATGCTGCAGACGGCTTGAGAGGAAACTTTGACCAAAAGAAAATGTTTTATGTCAGAGCGTGTTTCTGAGGAGTGCAATTCCAGATCATAGTCATGTGTTCCATTTTTTTTTTTACATTGTATTTATTAAAAGCAAATGAGTTGTTCAAGCATTTTCTGCACAACAAAAGAAACAATATTGGAATGACTCACTAAAAGACAAAAATATAATGGTCTAACAAATGTACAGTTAAAAGGAGACCCCCCCTAAAGTTGTGCTGTGCTAAAATGCCATAAACATAAATAAAAAACATCTCGAGACTTGCGCTGAATCACTCTGACGGACATTAATAGGAATGGTCACAATGCCAAACGATGGCCAGCTCTTTGGCCGACTCTGACATTGACACGGTCTCAGATTTACATCAAATAAGTGACAGAACATAAACACAAACGCGACAGGATGTTTGAACGTGGCATGCCGGCCTTGTTTGGGGTAACATCACATAGAAAAGTCAGACAAAAACAGCAAAACAAAACACTTAATGAAAACAGTTTGATATGGAATGTCATTCCAGACCACAGATTATAAATTAAGAAAAAAACAACAACGACATTTAGGCATACCCAAAGAAAAAATGATTTCAGTGACTACGTCATCTGTGCATTTAAGATGCCTGTCAGTAGTGCGGGCACTGAAGATAAGATGTGTTAAAGTAGTCAGATAAAATGCACACCTTTCATTCGGAGCTGCCCAAGACAATAGGTACAAAAAGAAGTTCTGAATAGATAAAGCTGTCTGTATATCAGAGAAGCAAGGGAGCACCATCGTCATACATACAGATGTAAGGTACAGCGTGTCGTCGTGCTCAGAGATCGTGCAGTCACTGATTCACATTAAAGCACTTGAGTGAGAGCGATTTAGCGTGTAGGGGAAATAAAACATTACACATGGAGCTCATTAGCTTATAGAAATGTTAAAGACACTGGACTTAAGTGTTTTTTTTGTTTTTTGAGTTCGGGTGTAAACAGTAAATAAGGCTGAAAAATATTTCTAGAAAATAAGCAGTAAAAAAGATTCCTTAAGTCTTGCTCCCTGGGATTCTTTCCCCATTAAAGGTTTTCAGACTGAACATCTGCTTTGCATTTTAGGAGAACAGGTAGAAAACATATCTATACACATACAGTATATCCTTTGGTTAGGGAAAGAACCCATTATTCTCTACCTTCTATTCAAGTAAAAGTGATAAGGAAAGAAATGCCATCAGATAAATACTCGTGGAGTGAACATGCTGATGTTACTTTTCTCTTTGAGGTTTGGGATGCCACCCTAAGGCAGTATTACAAACTTCGGGATAAATATTATTTACATAAATAGTTTTCTCCTCTTGTGTTTCTCATAGCTATGACCAGATTTATTTTTCTTGAAGCTCACGAGGAGAAACTCTGGTAAGAATCTGTCTACTTTGCTCTAGGTTGTTTTCAATAACAAAGAAACTTCACGTTGTTGTTGTTATTATTGCACAAATAAGATACACATTCGATGTGCTCACAGGATTAAGACGTAGACAGATGCAGTCACAATAAGTTAGGACACACTGGAAGGCTCTGAACGCACTTTGTAACATCAGACACATACAGAGAGATGAGGGTGTTTCTGGTCAGGTCCCATAATGCACTGAGGCAGTGAGTGATGCAGCTTTCAAAAACAAGGGTAACCTGTGAAGAATTAGGGTCCACTTGGGTCAAACAAGAAGAGATATGGTGGAGAGAGTGGCTCAGAGGAAAATAAGGGATAAAAAAAAGTGGATTTAAGACAAAGAAAGAAAAAGGGAGGGGATAGTGAGGAAGGGGCTAAATGATCAGGCTCAGTCCTGAAGCAGACTCTCCTCAGACATCCACCCCAGAGAGGGAATAGGCTGCTCCCGTCTGGAGTACTTCAGCTGCAGCAGGTCGCCCACTTCGCTGATGGCTGCCAGTGCCTAGCAAAAGAACAGGAAGAAGGCTATTAATTTGAAGCAAAAAAAACTATTTACGTCAATCAAAATAATGAAGACAGCCAGACAACAAATACGCAGATCACACAAAAACAGAGCTTGAATAAAGATTGCTTGTGAAGGTGACAAATGAAGTGATAAGCTTTTATCACACATGGATTTTCAAGCTCTAAACATGACAGCAGGCTCCGTGCATGAACCACAACTACACCCACACACTCCCTCCACTTCTTTTCACCAGAGACTGTATCAGCATTGCAACACTGCACAACACCTGGAAACAATTTACCTTCCTCCTGACTTTTTTTTTTCTAATTCCATGCTTAGAGAAATAGCGAGGGCTGGCTTTTCCAAAGACGGAAAAAGCGGCTCCTCGAAGTGCACTACAAAGGCGGGCCGATGCCCTTTAAATGGACTATTACAAACGGTGTTGACGTGCTCCTCAGTAAGATGAATGAGGTGTCTTTGGAGAGACGGCGCAGCTCAAATAAAAGTCTCTGTCTGAGCCACGCTGTAATACTTCCAGACAGCTTGGCTTTCCAAGTTGTTGAATAATAAAGGACATATTAGGAGTTTGATTATTCAGCAGGCACACTTACATTTCAACTCCGATGACAGACGCAGACAAAAAGGCCTACCAATCACCACTAAAGTAACATCTTCTATCAAGTTGAGTGTGAAATTAAGTCTTCAACAGTACACCTCGGTCCTGTAACAATGTCCCTCGAGATGGATCAGCAGACGCTAAATAATGAAGTTTTTAATAGAAAGAAGCATCATGAGCTGAGACTGCTCTTGTACTCATCACACAAACAGGACAGAAATAGGTGATCATCTTGCTGATGCACGGAACCATTTTTAAATGTTTTTCAGGCAGAGTATTAGAATTTTCCCTCAATGTAACGTAAAACTGAAACACACTGTTTCCAGAGTAAAATGGGTCCTTTTATTTTATGTGTTAGTAAGTGAACAGGAAATGGTATGCAGGAGCTGACCAATTTGTTGTCTGTCAGCCACAGTTCTCTGTAGCACTACAAATAAAACTTTAAAGTTAAAAGATGGCTCTGATTTAAAAAAAAAAAATAGATTTCAGAATTTAAAACCTTATCTATTGTTTTAGAATAAATACAGAAATATTAACGCGTGTGTGTGTTTCAGACAGTGACTGGTTAAGGGATGACTTACTGTGTCGAGCATCTCTCTAGTATGGGCGGCTGAAACGCAGAAACGTGCCCTCGACTCGATGATGGGTGTTGCTGGGAAGCCGACGACCACTGTTCCAATGTTCCTCTTTAACATCTCCCGACCAAATGCCCTGAAAAGCAACAGCAACATGAGACGCAGGGCAATGCATGGAAAGTCCAACTTCTCCACCAACACCACAGCCACATCTTAGCTGTTTTTTGTCTTTAATGTGTGAACCTAAAATCATGAACAGCTTTCCACACATTAAGTCAGATTCTATTTGGAGAAGGGACCGGAGTACAGAAAATCACTCAAATTAAGAGTGTAAGCCTTTATGACTTTTCCAAATGGGAAATCACTCGGCGATTCTTCCAAATAGTCGTACTAATTATCCTTCATCTCTAAAGCATTTATACTGTATTCAATTAGCTTAAATGGAGGAGTCACGCACCCAATTTTGGCTGGCATGTAGAGCATCATGGGTACTACAGGCGAGTCATCATTGCCATAGATGATGACGCCCATTTCGAGGAGTTTCCTGCGGAAGTAGTTTGTGTTTTCTGATAGCTGTTTGAGGCGATCAGCACCTGGAGGAGACAGAAAAACACATGCATAGGTCACAATGTGGGCAAAGGTTTTTAAGCTTCCATCTGTTTGCAAATATAGCATGGAAATGAATACAACTGGATGACAAGTGTCCTCCCTTTTTTTTTTTTTTATCCTTTCTTATCAGCTGTGTGCGAGTGCAAACTTTTATTTTTGGCAAAGTGAAAACATGTGCCGGGGTGTGCAGTATCGCCTTCTTTAGTTATTATTGAAGCTTGTAACCTTCATGAAACGGTATTTACTTTGAAAAAAGCCATGGACTTTTTGAAGTTACAAAAGACCATTAAGGTTACCTGCATCCTTTAATGCAATGTTTGTAAAAATGAGTGTACGTGGAGCCCTAGTGGTACTTAGGAGAATGACGAGGGGGGTACTCAAGATTTATTTCATGTTAATTATCAGTCAGTATAATTCTTACAACTATAAATGAGAAGTCAGTGAAGCAGACAACTGAAAGAAATAATTCACAGCTGTAAACAGAAAAGAGTTGAAACAACATAAACATGCAGCCGTGTTAATGTTGTGGTCATTTGGTGCTTTCTGTGTTTGTATGAAGACAATTATTAAACAATGTGTTTGTTTTAAAAACATTCAGCAGCACAGCTGAACACACAGAAAGAAGTGCAAATCTGATACAAAAAACAAAGCCGACAAAGTACTTTAAGTATGAAGTTCAGTATATGAATTGTCATTTTAAATATTCCCCAATCTTTGCACTTGTTCTGCTGGGACAAATGAGCCGAGGGTCAGCGTGAAGCGTTCTTTCATTGGTGTTTTAGAAACAGTCACTTGGCTCAGTCTTTCTGTTGTAATCCAAAGGGAGTAAATTAACTAGTTTCACAACAGAGTTCCCAGAATTCCCCCGTCTGGCTCACTTCAATCACCAAAACAACAAATAATATATTTGAATAAGCATAGAACTCATCAGTAAACCCATGTTGTGCATGTAATGTGCTGCACTTTTCTGGAGAAAGAAATGCATCACTTGCCCTTGAAGACAACTGAGATTTTTAAAGTGGAGATAAAGGAGCTGAAATCTAACAGGCATCAATCCTCATATGCCAGCCGCTCTGACACACAGTGCGGATCCACTCCCTGAATCCTGAACCTCCAGAGATATCATCTTGATCAAACAAATAGCCATATGGCTAAAAACGTGCCAACAGGAACACACATCTGCCTGGCTGTGTTGAAAAACAGTTCAGAAAACACCAGGACTTCAAAGCATCCAGAGACACAACACAGTTTGACTTTATATTTATCCAGACGTCTTTTTCCACAGTCGGAGAATCCAAAGTTATACTCAGCATGTGAAACATTCAAAAACAGCATATACTATCCAGACTTTTTCAGGCAGGTTGGAGTTCTTTTCATGTTGAAGAAAGCTTTTCCCACCTTCTGCTTCTATTTCCCATCCACAGATTTGATTGATGTGAGTTTCAAACAATAAATGTCACATTTCAATGCAGACCTTTGCCGGGAACAATGAACAGACGTCCTCAGCGACTCGAATGAAGCAACAAACTGTTCACAGGCAGCTCTGACTGTCACTTCTGAATCTTCAAAGGCCTGAATATCAAAGAGTGACGGGCCTGGAACCAATCAGACTGTCATTGTTAGTCCTCTAAACTGGGATATGTTAAAAGGTCAGACAGTCGGGCCTTCTTTGCTTAGAAATATGGAAAAAGAGCTGATGACATTGTGGGACAGCCATATAATAAAGGTTGCCTTAGGTGTTTACTCCTGTACCTAATGATTCAATGACTGGGGAGCAACGTAACCTGATCTTAAATCAGCATTTTAAATGGAGCCAACATCAATCAAGCAGTTTAAAAGAGTAAGGGGGTGCCGCCCTGTTAGAAAAACAATACCTAGTGATCTGTTTGTGTGTGTAGGGGATGATTCCAACAGAGCTTGATCTGCACTGATCTCTGGCCCTCAGCAACAAGCTGCTTTGTACCCAGCATGAAGGCAAAGAAGCACACGTACACAAAGAAACACACATCTGAAAGCCATACAGGAGAGGGTAGAAGAGTCAGCATACCAACACTTCAAGACCTTCGATCAGCCTGGGCTGAATCGACAAGAGTACAGTCCACCCAACGGCTTTAAAAATGCATATCCCGGAGTAAAGCTGCTGTAGACGACTTCTTGAAGACCTTCAAATGACCGGGCTGAAGACACGTTACCATACACAGATTGATAATTGTTAAGTGATAATGCCAAAAGCAACTCTTCAGCTCACAAAAGTTACTCTCAAAAGCTTAATTAATTCAAAATATAAGATCACAGGAACATTTTCAAGAACAATTTTTAAATGAAAGGACTTTAATAATCCTGAAATTTAAGATCGTATGACTTAAAATCCAAAAAATGACCATTACTTAAAAATCCATCCAATTTTGTCGTTGTATGTGAGCTGATGAACATCAAACATATGAAGGGCATACAAGGGCATACACATACTCATGTGGCACTAACACTATACCTAGAAAGAGTTTACACATTCCTGTGAGTTTGTTAGGGCTGCTTAACACACCTTTATTTACTGGTAAATAATTACCAGTTGGCCGTAGATAATGGCCTTTATCTCTGGCCTGGGAAGGAAAACATTGCAAGACAAACAAGCACAGTCTGCATGGAGCCAAAGTACAAAAGGTGGCTAAACTGATGTTAGTCTGAACCATTGCTCACAGGTTTGCAGGACTAAATCATGTCTGAGAGCAATGTTATACTGCCACCTTGTGGTCTCTTGAGGTAAAGTCATGACAACTGGCAAAACTCGAGCCACACTGACAAATCAAAGGTGAAGAAATCTGGGATATAATTGCAGCTGTAATACCAAGAAACAAGCCAATGTTACATTTGTAGTTGTTTGAGGTCGCTCTGTAATACTTGATGTTTCCTGTCTAACCTAAAACGTCAGCATTCCTTCTGAAAATAGAAACTATTCACGCCCTCCACTGTCTTTGAGTGTGATTTAAGTGGTGATGCCACCCTTTCTTCTCAATGTTCAATGCTGCTGGAAGTGATGTTGATGTAAATGTTGAAAGTTATTTTCTGCCACCTACCTAGTGAGGTCCCATCCTCTCCCATGATGATCTTCATAGAGGTGATTATCTGCTGCGCCACAGGAGGGGAAATGGAGGTGGCGTACAGTGCGCTGTGAGAGTGGGCCCGAAGGTAGTCGATGAGCTCCTTAAAGAGAAATTCAAATGAAGTTGCTTTTGTTGTCTTTCAGTAAAGGGGATAAAAACATTTAGTTTTGGTATATGTGCCAAAGCACTGATGGACAACAGTAGGACATTTACATTACATGTCTGATTGAATAAGATATTGCAATAGATTATGGTTCTTTTCAACCATATTATTTCATCATGAATAGAAAACAAAGAAAGTGGAATTAAATCTACCCGTCCCACAGCAACAACTCATAGCTTTCCAGTGACGGCAATATGTTATTGTGCTTCTTAGTCACTTTTGATGTGAGCCAACAACAACATAAGGCCTATAAGCAGCTGTGTGTTCAGATTTTCTACAAACAATGGAAATAACTCAGAACTTTGTTTTATATGCGTTTAAATTGAATACATAAGGATATAAGGCATATACAGGTACAGGGCATAATATGTGAGGAATGAGCGAGTATGGGATCTGTGGGATCCTGACACTCAGACAACCTGGAGAGTTACACTAGGCTAAGTACTATCTTTGTCACATTGAGACAATATTGACTTTTTCACTGAACTTTTCCTTCTCTTGTAGACAAGGGGTCCTAAATAACCACTGTACCTGTTGTTTTTTATTTAGCTAAGAGGCATTCTGTTGGCATTTCATCTTTATTGTGAAGTTCATTTTAATAAAAAAAGTATACATAAGGGATCTTTAAAATCGAAATGACAATAGCTAATTTTTAGTAATTGTTTTAGTAGCTAATTTTTGAAACTGTACCACTATTTCAGTTACAGCGCCAACAATTCACATTTTTAAAAAGTGTGCTTAAGGGTTTGAGGGTTTCTTTTGCTTCTATAATGTTGAAGTACGGTAATACTTGGGTATTACTAAACATGTAACCGTGCATATGTGCATGTTATTCGTAAATCTTTCTTAATAAGAGGTAGACGTGATTGTATCTGAAAATGAATGCTTACACTGACTGGAAATCCTTTTTTAGAAATAAAGGGAGTTAACTTACCCTATGCTGCTACGCATTGTGACCAATACTGAAAGTGAATGACACAACATACTGGGCCTGATTTATCAGGAAATTGCTAGATTCCCTTGTCAGTATGACTAAGTGCCCCAGCTTCTGAAATCAGAATGCTTCTTATTTTCCATCACAGCATAGAAGGTCTCACATTACAATGTCTGAACTCACAGCATTATTTTGTTTTTCACCTACCTTTTTGCCTCCAATGTAACCTCCAGCAGCACCGAAGCTTTTGGTGAATGTTCCCATCATGATGTCTACATCTTTAGGATCCAGGCCAAAGTAGTCGACCACTCCTTTGCCGTTGGGCCCCATGGCTCCGATGCTGTGGGCCTCATCGAGGTACAGATAGGCCTTGTAGCGCTTCTTTAGGGCGATGACCTCTGGCAGGCGCACGACAGACCCCTCCATACTACCGGACATAACATGGACGCAAAATGATTTTAGAGAAGTGTCACAACTCATCCGAACTAAAGACAAGCTTAGACTTCATAAATAAACAGTACTTTCCCAGCTTTCTCTCCCTGTTATGTAAATTCATGTTACCAACAACAACTCTCTAACCCTAAAGCTGCATTATAATACAGAGAGCATGGGCGTAGTTAACCCTTTAAAAACGGCCTAACCTTTGTATGGCTGTGTGTGTGTTCATGCCTGTGGCCTGTGCCAGGCACTGTTTTAGCAGCTGAAGCGTTTGTTTTACAAATCCCAGTGGACATGGAGCTCCATTAACTCTGCATTAGTAAAGGGCACTGATTATGTCAGGCAGTTTCTATGACAACAGTATTGATCAACCGGATTGATCGTCTTTACAGTAAGCACACATCAAACACAAAGAACACTATAGGAGGATGGGCACACTCGTTTCTTTATTTGTATCAGGGAGTGTTTCTGTCACGGCTAAGAAACTGAACTAAAACATGTGTGACTGTTATTCACACTGTTCAAGCAGTAAACGTCTTTGTTAGATGTATCTATTACAAAGTCAGCATGTGGGTGTAGCTTTAAAGGAAATCAATGCAGAAAATGTCTTTATACTGAACTCTGAATGTTGCACATCAGTATGCTTCAACAATGAAGATGGGGAGGTTCATATAATAAAAACAGCCTTAAAGCAGGCTTAGTGTACCAATACTTTTGCATTGTGACACCATGTCGTAAACAAGAAGCAGTTCTCCTTGTTAAAAAACACGTAAAAATGTAGCCCTTTACTCTTTTTTACTATCTGGAAGTGTCTATACATGTATTTTCCCAGATGTTACAAATAAAAGCAGAAATGGTCCCAGAACAGCAGAAGGATGAACGAGTCCACACCAAGAACGCTGAGGGTGTCAAGTACTTGGGAATAAACTTAGCGATACAGTAGTGTTATAAAATACTGAAGTGACAAAGCAATAAAACAGAAGCACAACTTAATTAGCTTTTTAGCTTAATTATCAAGCTGAGTGCATTTGAACAATTCTGTGTGTTTGTTTGTGCTGGTTTACTGTAACTGTGTGGGAGAGAAAGACAGAGGTTATGTATACAGTACCTGTATATTCCCTCCACCACTATGAGGATCTTCTTCCAGGGTCGGTGGGTTCTCGGCTGCCCGTGAACGATAGCGTCTCTCAGCAGCTTCTCCAGGCTTTGCATGTCTACAACGTGGAGAAGATGTTTAAATGGTCTGAGGATACATTTTTATTCCCTCTTAAAAAACACAAGAGGTTTCTTTTACCATCCGATGAGAGCAGTTTATTAACGAGTGCAACCTTTAGAAGATTTGCTTTGAAGTGTTTTCTTAGCAGACAGCCTGCCTGCTAACTGGCTGCTGAGTGTGAACTTGGAAACATTTAAGGGAGGATCTTGAGAATATGTGGTGTCTGTTTGAATATGTGTCTGTAAAAGTCTAATTACACCACACCCACTCATGTGTGATTCAATACAGTAAACAAGAGAAAGACATAGTGGAAGAAAAGTAAATGTAGGGCTGAAGAAATAAAGTAAGTTATCAAGACTACGTATTGAATCAACCTGCTGTAACTCACACTCGTGATAAATGCCTCCTATTGGAAAAGCAGATTATAACTAATTCCTCCCTCATGGTGTTGCAAGGTCCATTTAACCCTGTGTGTGCTGTGTTACTGCATTCCTTGGATGTACAGGAAAACACATTTCTACCTAATCGTACTCGAGGAAGGCGCTCTTTATAAAAGGTCACTCACTGTTGTGCTTGAAGACCCGGATTGTGGAGCCGGACAGACGTGCACCTAGCACCAGTGATGCATGATTCAGCTCGTCACTCAGAATTAGACAACCCTAAAGCAGGAAGAAATGAGTGAAACACGCAGAAATGAGACAATTCAGATTAAACCGTAGTTTGAGCTTTGCTTGCATCATTGTAATACCACAGGTTGTCACATGCTGGAGACTTTTGGTGTTAAGCAACGACCTTCTGGCCCAGACTGATTATTTCTGTATCTCAGCTCTTCACCTTTAATACCCTGGGACTACCTGTTGCCATGAATACATACTGTATATAAAAACATAATAATGTCCATAAATGCTTTTTTGTCTTCAGAAAAGTAGAACCAGATTGTTCTTTTGTTTGGAAAATCATTTGTAATCATTTTCACAAATATTTTAATAACAATACAGTATTTCTTGTTATGTCACAGCTATTGCAAACACCTCATCCACCTCTTAAAGTCAACACACTGAACCCTTCACACTGGACCACATCATTTTCTCTGGTCAATGAATAAATGGACGTGTTACTCAACACACATTTAGGCTGTAACATAAAAGTGTGAGCTAGCAGAAAAGTTACAGGCATGGTTATCAGTTTGCTAGCCCCATGTGACAAGGGCAGTGACTCTGATCTTTACTGTCGGCTGCAGGTTTTTCTCTCTCACTTCACTTATCCGTCTGTCAGGAAATGTGCACTTTGACTCACATGGTACACATGCCTGTCAACTCATATCTACTTCCTGTTCCAGACACTTTTGTGAAGGAAGACAAGGGCTAGTAAGAATGGCAGTGCAGAGAAGTGTGTGTGTGTGTGATTTGTTGAGGTTAGAACAAACAGAGACTGGTACTTTTCAAATATTAATCTCCAGGCCGCTGCCCTCAGAATGTTTTGAAAGCTTTGGGTGGAAAATAGTGTGTTGTGAAACAGTGTGAACTCTCCAAGCTTGGCTATACATCAGAAAAGCAGCTTGTTTTTACTGTACACAGGAAACAGTGTTTTTTACCCAACAGCTAATCTAAAAATGAGGCTCAATACAATAACAGGATGGCAACGGGGGCAAACATAACCTCATAATCAAATCAAGAAGATCATGGTGTGCTAGTGAGCTAGAAAAACAACATATAAAGGAAGTAAATTAAATTCCTTACCTTCCCGGTAAGAGCAGGAATGTTCATTGAGTTTGTCGCGAAGCCCATGCCAAAAGCCATCGATGACTCAACACCTAGGAACCTGGCAACGAGCTGCTCCAGCTCCTCATGGATGTCTAAGTTTCCTGGAAATGACACAATCTCAGTTTTTTCCTTCTAGTAGCACTATGAAGATCCTTTTCTGTAAATGTGTTCCTGCTTTGTTTGGAAATATATGAGGACACACAAGCATGGAATAAAGTACATAGTCCTGTCACACTATTCCAATGATAAACAGGCGGAGGTAACATACAAAGACATATAGCAGTGTGCTAGGGATGCCACAGGTTACATAATGTTTTTTTTGCAGTCATCCAGCTTGAAATTTACAGGCAGATTCTACGTTTATCCCTGACAAAAAGACAAAACGTCAATATGGAAAACAGGAAGCTAAATTATTCACAATCCCGTTAATTCCTGAAGAGAGACAGAAAATGTTGGGAGGAGAGACTTGGGGGGGGGAGATGTGTAGTAAGGGGCGAAGATCAGACCCTGAACCCACGATCACTGCAATGAGGATTAGAGCAAACTGTGCCAACCAGAAAGTGTCATCACTCTGCTCTCTGTCTGAATCCATGTGATCTCAGTGATCTTCAATCTTAAAAATAGATAGGTCAAATGCCTGTTTACATAAACTCTGCTTCCTCATTACAAGTGAAATCTGACCCTTTCTTCTCTGTGCAGTGATTTTTCTTATACTATATGGAACAAACACTTAAAGTTTACAATTGTAGCAGCTGTTGTCAAACTAATTTAATTCATCACACACTTAAAAAATAAAAATCTGAAATAACAACAAAGCTACATTGCTCCAACAAAGGCAGGTTAAAAGCTCAAAGCTCAAACATATTGATGGAGACGATGCTGGATTTAAAATACTATTCGAAAAATCGGCTTTGTAAATGTTTTATGAGAAAGGAGACGCACTCTAGCGTTTCCAGGTTAGAAACAGGCTTTAGCAAACTATGGACTGAAAGGAAACAAACTTCTAAGCTTTCTCAATAGTTGATCGTCCAAAACCCACTCATGCCTTTCTCCTCTGCTGTCAGCTGAAAGAGCATCATCCATTTCATCATAACGTGACTCGAAAGCACTCTTAGAGGATTACCAATCATCGAGGCTTTTATAAAACCAGCTCTTAAGTTTGACCCTTACCGATCTCACAGCGAGTGCTGCCCACTCCAACTCCATACTTCTGTGTGGATTCAACAGCAGCATCGGCACAAGCCCCGACGTTCTCAGCGAAACCGAGGTAATTGTAAGAGCCCATGTTGATGACGCCCTTGGCCACTTTCCCTGTGTGCCTGAGAGAGACAGGGGATTGATAACATGATTTCCATCAACCTTAAACATCACTGCTTTATAAAGATTCTATATGCATGCACTTGGACTGCCACTTGTATCATTGTTATGATACCAGACTGTTCTTAGAGGACCTCTGACCGAGTATTTGTCAGTGCCATGTGACAGATACGGGTGCTTTTAACATACTTTCTGAATCACTGTTGATGTCATTCTTACTATCAGACATACAAGGTCAGTGACTGAACGTGCAAATCAATGAATGTGCTGTGAGGGAGTGATGACTGCCAAAGACAACACCTCGATACTGAAAGCTATCCTGCTCACGTACAGAATCTGATCAACAAACAATCGTAGCAAAAACACATTACAGCATCTTACTCAAAGGTCCAGTTGTAGTCGTTGGAAACTCTCTCCACCAGGTCCATCTTAGCACCAGGGACGCTGCAGATGGGCCGGTTCCAGTTGTCTCGAATCCTCATGTACAAGTTCCTGGTGTAAAAGTTCTCAAAGTCCTGATAGAGGGGGACAAAGTCCTGCAGGGGGGGACAAAATCTCTTAATTTTATGACTTCTAAAGGCCATCTTTGTTCTGTTGAAGACAAGGAACACAGTCAACAGATGAGTTCTGAACCACATTGGAAAAGTGTGGAAGACACGCAGCACTGTGACAGCTGGCAGGTGCTGACCTCTTGATCTCCACTAGGATATCTTAACATTAAAATCTGAAACCCTCAGCGCTGTGTGCTGTAATCAAAGTTCATTTCATCTTGAAACTTCTGCCTGCAACTGAAATACGTTTTGAGGATTGAGATTTAGATAACGTAAGACGCCTTTTAAAGAAAGTCTTGCTGTGATTTGTCTGATCAATAATTCAAATTTGAAAGTGAATTAGTTTTAAGTGGCTTCACATTCACTTTGTCTTAAGTCAGCCTTTGCATTCTACAATAACTCATTATACTACTTTACCTTCTGCTCCGGCCTCTCCCGAGCCACATTGCATTTCTCGATGTTCCAGTGGCGAAGGAAGTCTCGGAGATAGCCAAAGACGGTGAGGATGCCGTAGCCCATGTAAGTGAGCACAGCCACCAGAAGAGGCGTCTCCTCAAATGATTCCAAGAAGGGCTTCTGGTACAGGCTGGAGTTGTGTGTGACATTTTGGTTCTGAGGGCAAAATGAAGTAAAATAGTGTGTCATTTCAAGTCTATAAAAGTTGAAATGAAAATATTTATATTACAGCTATAATCAGGCTCAAACCAAAGACTCTTTTTCTAAATTTATAAATCTCAGCCTGACACACAGATTTAGAGGTAAAAGTAATGTTGAAAACATTCCTGCAGTTGGTTTCTCCTTACAGGGTTATAGTTTATCTATGCATCAACTCTGTTTACACACTGAGTCTGCCTCACTAAGTAGTTCAATAAATTGTTATAGAAACCAGCAAAACTACTCCAGAATAAACCGGGCACGAACGTGACAACAGCAGGGCCAATCTGTTAAAATTGTGTTTTTCTAGGAAAAGAAAACCAATACGATAAGCACATTAACTCAGAGAGACCTGACCGTGTCCACCAGTGAGCAGTAAAATGGCCATCAGATCAGGGTTCTACTTCACTGAGTTTTATGAATAGCAATATTGATCCTGGATTAAGGGGCCACACCAGAGCGCCACAAAAAATAAACAGAAAAATAATAGCATCATTATGAGCTGGACTTTGAACTCACTCCTGTCTAAAAAACAAACATTAAACAAATGAGGGCGGTCAGTCATTATAGACTCCGGCCTGTAGCCTAGCAACCATGGCTCATGTGACTAGTCATGCTTCTCCAAGAAATACCTCTTATCCAAGGAACAAGAGGGCACTGCAGTGTGTGTGTGTGTGTGTAAAGCCAGTCAAACAGGTCCCTCTCTCTGACTCTGAATATGACGTCATATTTGTTCAATCTTTTATACCTGTGGACAAACAGGGACTGCAAACACGTAGACCTGGAAACACGTAGACCTGTGCAACTCACTTCTCGCTACACAGCAACTCTCCTTAGTAAAGCCTCCTACCAACGTACTGTGTGGAAATCACATGCTTGCCTTGCAGCTCCTAAACATTGTGTAAAGAAAAAGAAAAGGCATGTGGTGCAGTTATCACTTGAAATCTTAAAGTAAGAAAATGGGCGAGTCCTCTCCTTGTTAATTGCCCAGTCACGTCTTATTTCTATTCAGCGATAACCGACACTACGCTCTCTGCTGAAAGCTGTTAGTGAGTTCATTATTCCTGATTGCTTCATCAACATCCCGCCCCTGAGCCTTTCCCTAAGGGATTAAAGTTAACGTAATATGAAAGATGCATGTTTAGCTGCAGATCTATCCCAGGTGGACATGAGTCACTTGTCTGTGATGGAGATGCAGACTCACTAGAAAATGTTGGACATTTTGTGCTTGTGCTGTCAGAGTCAACAGGTGAGTCCCTTAACATGGACAAGCAACAAGACAGACAGAGATTGTCTGGAAAAAAAAAAAAAGAGTCTGTGTGCATCTAGCTCCAACTTCAGGCTACTATCAACAACCACCAGCGCTGACATCAGACAGGAGGATCCCCCTTTTCAGTGCTGATAGCAATCCTGTACTAACTTAAGTGTATGTAAATACTGGCCATTGTGTCATTGGTGTCTACAGTTCACACTGTTTACATGAAAAGGATTCAAAACATTGGCCTGGTTGAATGGTAAATGTTTCAAAACATTACATGCTATATCAAACGTGGCTCCAAATAACTAACTTTGTTAAGGAATGCACTGTCTTCATTTCAACCTGAATAACATTTCAGTATTTATATACACACAACATGCAGTTGTGCACTTCCAGGTTGATGGAGACTCTTTGTGAATACAGATGTAATTGGTATGACGGCGATAACATCTGGGCCTCATTGTGTAAACCCACTGTATGTTGAAATAAGCAGTGTGCGGCTTTAAGCTATCGCAAGTCTGGAATGTGCCGTTTCCAGAAATGAGAGGTGGTGCATTTCCTTCAGTTTCGACAGACTTTTAGATCGGTCTTCAGTGTTAAATCTTAACTAATCAAAACAAAAACAACGCCATGTGTGTGTGTCTGTATACCCCACCTCCACCAATACAAATACACTGTTTTCTGTGTTTCTACCCTCGGAGGGACCACACCCTTCACAGCCAGGAGACATTCCTCCCCCTGAAGTGTCATGTGGACGCAGACCTGCCCTACTGAGGAGAGGGCACTGCTCTTCATCATCATGCTAGAGTCTATGTAAACTGAGACTGGTCTAACTTCACCAGCTATTCACACACAGACACACAGACACACACACACACACACACACACACACAGACACACACACACACACACACACACACACACACACACACACACAACAGGGTGTAGAGTTACAAACAAGTCACCACTACAATCTCCCTGATCAGGTAGCAGGTAACCACCAAACAAGGGGTGTAAAATTCGTAAGTGTAATTAACATAACACATAATAATGTTTACAAGCTAAAAATCAGTTTAGAAAATCTTGATTCCAAATGAAAGCAGATTATTTTGAAAGCCTTGCGGTTGAGAATGAAGCAGTGTTGACATTAAATTGTAAGCATCGGCAGCAGCTGGTTTAAAAATGTTCCAGTTTATACTTTTCATGGACATTAATTAACAAACTGTACAACAAACTAAGTATTTGTAGCTGCAATAAGAGAGCTAACATTATTGTCTTAATTCAAGCCACGGTAGAAAACACACAGTTGTCGGTCGGGCCTTCCTTACCTTGTCTCTGGGTCGACGGTACTTCTGCTGAAACACACAGTGGTTCTTCACGAAGCCATTTTTACTCGATTTTTTACCATTTGAGGTCCGGTGACGGGCGTCTCCGTTTAGCAGCTTGTTCGCGGAGCTTTCCGTCATCTTTGTCTGTCGTCTGTGTGTGGATATTTGACGATTTGAAGTTGCCCAACTTGTGTAAGGTTTGTCGTGAAGTCATGTATGAGCTGGGGGGGAGAAGACGGATTAAACGCCCACTCTGCACTGTGGTCGCACAAGCCTACCGGAAATACACGCCCACGAGTAATTTCATTGGTCGATGCTGAGACTCCACTACAAAGATCGTCTATGCACATAACAATTCATAACACTGACCAGGGTCATAGATGAGAGAAATCATGTCCCTTGTATTTAGCCTCCCAAAGTAGATAGATAGATAGATTTAATCTTTATTATCATTGTATACAAGGACACAACGAAGCTTTGCGTTTACAAAAACAACAACAAAAATATATTTGTGGTGATATGAAAGAGAAATATGCAAAAAGTGGCCAAGGAAATTGCTGTTCAGTGAATGAATGATAATAATAATAAATAAATAAATAGACAGTTGTGGTGACTGAAAGAACATATACAGTTCTTGTTTTGCAGTGACTGATTAGGTAAACAAATATAAATATATATTATATATACTGTATATATATATATATATATATATAGAGAGAGAGAGAGAGAGAGAGAGAGAGAGAGAGAGCGATATATAGTGCAAATAAGTGAAGTTATAGTGCACTGAAAGAGTATATACAGTTATTATTGTGCAGTGACTGGATGGGTAAATAAACAGTTTTAGTGCAATGAATGAATAAATAAATATACAGTTAAAGTGCAGTGACTGAGTAAATAAATAGCCAATTATAAAGCAGGGAATAATGCACATTGTATTCCCGTCTTGTTGGGGGGGGGGGGGGGGGGTGTTTATGGGTTGAGGAGTTTGTCCACAGCTCTGGGATAGAATCTGTTTTGTAGTCTGATGGTCCTGAGTCTGCCTGAGGGAAGGGTGGTGAACATACAGTGGTGAGATGTGTCTCTCCGGATGTTTGAGGCTCGCTTGTGGAGACGGGGCGAGTGGGAGTGATGGGAGAGGGGAGCCGACAATCCACTGAGCTGTTTTGACGATCCGCTGAAGATTCTTCTTTTCTGCTGAAGTGCAGCTCGAGTACCAGACAGCACAGCCGTATGTCAGGATGCTCTCGATTGTGCAGCAGTAAAAGTTCTTCAGCAGATCACGAGGAAGTCTGCTGTGCCTCAGGGTCCTCAGGAAAAAGAGCAGGGGACTTTAGGAGCAATTTGGGGGCAATTTATTTTTAACAAGAAAAAACTGAAGCACGGTAAATGCTTTACTGTGAGAACTACTGCTGGTTTTATTAGTTAATAACAGATTCACTGAATATCTGTTGATTAATTTCTTTGATTAGACCAAATTCTGAGTTTTTATCTTAGACGGCAGGTTACAATTATTTTAGTCTAATGGAGAATTCGAGGTGCTTGTACCTTATTTATTTCCCTGGATAATGTTTATTGTGAATTATTGTGTTTATTTAAAGGCACATTTGTTTTTTTTAAAGCCTACCTACAAATCAATAAGCCATAGGATTTATTTTTCTTAAAAGTCTATATGTTTTTAAATGTATAAACGCGTACTTTAATTTTTTTTTTATCCATCTTCAGTGTCAAATCGGAGTTGGCAAGTTAAGATAAAAAAGTAGTACTCAATGGTAAAATGATGATTTCAACATTTTCCCCTACTTCTATTATGTTTCAGATACGTTGATGTTAAAACGTGTGAGACATCTTCTTTCAATTCTTACTCTTTGTTAGGCGTCAACCTCTCTCCAGCGTGGGACGTCCTAACGTCTATTCCATGGAAATAACCCATAATAACCTTTGCTCAGGAGTCAGCTGAATCCTCCCCTCCACTCCCTCCGATGACGATATTTCTTACCTGAGCTGGGAAGATGCTGAACACGGGTCAAGGCCAACTCCTACCGGAAAGAAGTAAAGGACTAAACTACATAAGCCACCTCGCTATTTCAGTGTGGGACGATTTATTTTGCAGCCTAGAAAAGTCTCCCACCTCTTTCCGCAAGCCTTGTGTTTTTCCATAAAATAATAATTGAGTGGATTGCGTGACTTCAAATAAACAAACACAAAAGTTACCTCATGAGATTTTTATTGCCTGGGTGAAACTGTAACGTGTGAGCTTTTATCTGAACCACACCAGGCTATGTCAACATAATCTTCAGTCTCACCACACCTCGAAGTGGGGCTTCCTCTCTGACAAAACAACTGAATTGCTTTATAAAATAAATACTGCTTTGTGGCCATGGTGTTCTACAGGGCAGAGGACTGCCAGCATAAATATTTCAGGTACATTGAGAAGAGGAGAAGACCTCTGGTGTAAGAGACTACAACAACAATTGGCGGGTTTCCTGGAGTCACAGTGGACCTCTAGGTTGTACTTTTCTCTTCCTGTTTGGGGCACATGGACCAGTGGAACGTGCCTGTCAGCATGGCCCCCGCTATCTTTGTGTGTGTGTATGAGATTTGATTGTTTGTATAACACTCCACCGTGAGGCAGAATGACTATGTCTCCCCCTTCTTCCTCTATTTCCATGCGATTTGTTTGTGTGTTAGGGGCTTTGTATTCATGTACAGTTTCAACTGTAACATCAGCTCTTCAGTTTCATAAACCTTCTCCTACTTCCACTCACCTAGATGGCACTGTTGGACCACGCAAAGGTTGAGCACTGCCTATAAACAGACCTTGAATCAGAGTATAGGGCTGATGTTGTGGGTTGTAGTTCAGTGTTTGGTTACATGGGTTTGCAGCTCCGAGTACCTAAAAGGTGTGACATCCATGAGTAAGACATAAGAGATAACATCTGATGACTTGATTCTGGAATCAATTTTCAAACCTTTCCCTCTGGTTGTGGCTCAAGGTTGTAACCTTGAGTGTGGAATAATAAAAGATTAGTTCGGCCAGCTCTTGCCAATGTGCCCAAAGGCAGTAAAGCTCCCATCCATTCCAAACCCGATACAGGTGATAAGGATCCAGCTTTAATAGGATCAAAGGCAGGGTTAAAAGGAAAGAGGATCTGCCCTCATTGATACAGACACAGGAAGGAGCTTAGAATGATTTGGAATTTGTTACAATAAAACACTGGATGTCAAACAGATGTCGCCGTTGTGATCCATAAAACTTGCTGGCAAATGTTATGTTATTGTTTGCAGCAGACCCATATGTAATATTAGTCCCAAATCTAACAGGGATAATTGGGATGCTGGACCATGAACTGTTAATAAGAAGCTGATTCTGTTATAAAAAGTGAAGCCAATGCGGACGTTGCTCAAACCTGCATGCGTTCATTTTCATGGTCAGCAGGAGGAGACCCCATGGGGATGGAAAATATATCAGATTGTATAAAGACAGATGGGAAATGTTTCATGAAACTCTCCATCTCTAGTTTCAAGCATTTTGTCAATGCAGAATAAGTCTTTTAATGTAAATTATGGCCCTATTTAAAGAAAGAAAAAAACAATAAAGCATGGTAAGACTGAGGGCTTGGTGACAGCAAACACGCCAAACTTCAGGCCTTTAAATACCAATTGTGGCCACGTCCTCTTCTTTGATGGAACAAGTCAAATAACACACGCACATCAATTGATTAGGTGCTGAGTCGAATTAATACTTAATACTTAATAATTAAGACGCAAACAAAGACTCGTAACACTATGGCTCCCAAATCTATACTTATTTATTAGCTGCATTAAAGGAACACAATGTTTCGAGCCTGACCGGGCTCTTCCTCAGGTGCTGTACACAAAAACAGGTTCAGGTGTAATTTAATACAATCATGGAGTCGTCATGGGCGTGGACATCAAAACAGGGCAAAGTAGATGGAGCTTCTAAACCACCTTGAACCTGTTTTTTTTCTGTACAGCACCTGAGGAAGGTCACATGTCGATCCTGATGTTCTTACAGTCGACTTCAGACGACAGACGATTTCTTATTCACTGAAGATGTATTCCCCCTCTCTGTTGCAATTTCCCTGCTTTGATGTCATCTGATAAAATCATCAGGAGAATCAATCTCTCCTCCTATTCCCCCGACAACCTATTAAGACCCCAATACTGCCAGTGAGGAAATCTAGGCAAGCAGTCATTTATCATACTCCAGTGGCATCCAAATGTGGCCGATAACAAATGATGAAATCACAGTAGGACACAAGTAACCATGTAAATGAATATGAACGAGTGATTTCACTGGTAGGATTTACACTTCTGCACGAACAAAGCAAGTCTAAGCCACATGCAAATCTGTGATGCATTCAAGAACTGACTGATAATTGCTGCAGTCAATGTGTCTAATATCCTGAAATACAGTGTCATTGACTATTTGAATAGCAATTTAAAGGTGTACACAAGAGACAGATTTTATGACTCTAGAAGCAACACTCATCCATCATCAACACATGTGCAATACATTTGACTTTTCTACCACAAGTTTCCATTCAGACCACTCTCTCTTTCTGAAGCTCTTCCGTCTGATAAAGACATTGGCTTAGGCGTCGCTCACCTCCTGTCCCTGCAAATCCCAGAGCAGACGGTGTGCACTCCCACCACGGTTGGTCGGGCCCCGCTGCCAAAGTATGTGTGGTAGGCTGCTTTCTGACTGACACAACCATTAGAGATTGTTACGCCTGTCTTAGTCTTCCCAACATAATAGATGATCCACAGAGGGAGCCACTGAGGAGACTGGTGGAGTCTGCTCTCCAGGATCCAGGTGAGTTAGACAGGACAGACAGATTGACATCATGGCAGACCATTTTCCAGTGAGCAGTAGACTCTGTCCGATTCTAGGCTGCTGCTATAATGATGAGTAAAATCCGGACCAAATATTCACAGATGAGGAACTAATGATTAGAAAGGGAGTGAGTGACAGCGGACAGACAGGTAACTCAGGTGTGTGATGCTAGAAGTGAACATTAGTTTGACAGATTAGGTTTACACACTCTGTGGCTTTGCCCATTGCATTCAAATTACATATCACCAACATGAATTAAAGTGACAGTCCATTTATAATAAACAATATGCAGTTATGACAAGGCCCAAAGGGAACCTTTAGATTCAAATATGGAAGCAATGTTTGAAGTAACATTGTAAGGGAGGAACATAATTTGAGTTAGGGCTGTATAGAGATTGACAACATGGCCGCTCCCCAAAAAAGTGAAGCCAAAACTTTATAAACCCCCTTATAAGGTATGCAATGCTTTAAATTAGTCCATTTTGAGTGAAGAAAAAGTGCTTACCATTTTGAGTAAGCACTTTAAAGTCAGTAGCTCAGAGACTTGAGTTGGGATCTGGAGGGAGGCCGGTTCAAATCCTGGTATGGACTAAGTATGGAAATTGTGACTGGTTGCTGGAGAGGTGCCAGTTTAGGCCAATGTGGAGGGCACTTAATCTCCACCTGTTCAGTGTGACTGTCCATCCCTTTGGGCTGCCTAAATTTAATTGAAACTAAAGTTAAAGGCTAACAAGGAGCAGCATTAGAAGTATTTTGGGAGTCATATTTATGGCTACTTAACAAACCTTAGTCTTTAGTTCTTTGTGTGTTTGAAAAGTGAGCCTAAATCCAAACATAAGGGTTGATCATGTGAGGTTGACAAGTAAGTCAAAAGAGGACACCAAAAAAGCCTGTAGAGCTACAGGGCAGCTACATTCAGATCATTGCCTTCAAAGCTACCTCACATTGAAAGAAAGTCCACAAAGAAGTCCAACTAAAAGTTGTTGTCCTCTACCAAGGAATCCATAAATAAAGCTACTAAAAAAAGTTCACATTGATTGAAGATATGAAATTATAACCACATATGATATCAGAAAAAGTAAACCTTCAGCACAGCGGATATAAGAACCTATTTCCTCATGCATAGTACAAACAATTTTAAACGGAGAGTAGGAAATAAAACGTTATTCTTTTTAATCGATGCAGGTTTTGGGTATCTAACAAGGCAGGATTACTCTGTTAGGTAACTCCATAATAGTATGCATCAACTTATCTGAACATTTGTTAATACATCAGCCAGAGAACAATTAGTGTCATCTGATTATTCAGGATGGAAGTTGGGCAACATGATTTCACTTTGAGAAGCATTTTTTTTCCCACTTTCCTTCTGCTCCTTAAAATGACTCATCTGTCCACGCGGATGAAGAACAGTGATGCTGTCAGAGAGGGAATAGGAGCATTGTCTTCCATGGATGTGGGTGTGCTTCTTGAACAGAACAAAAAAGGCTTCTTCTGTCACAGCTGCAGCCTTCAATACTGCGAGAGAGGAGCAAATCTCATGGCGTGAGATAAGACCGCCGTCTGGCCAGCGTCTTCGACAGGTCAACGTTGGCAGTGGGGACATTTATCACACAACTTATTGCTTTGCTGCCACTGAGGGGAGGAAGGTGGGAGAAATATCAGTAAAAGGCATCACAAAACAAACTTAAGTGCTCCTCTTGCAAGTCCATGGAGCGGTAAGATCAGTGCAACAACTCAATATTGTTTATTATTTCTGGGTTTGTTTCCTTGTGGAGAAGAGATAAGGAGTTATCCATCACGGCCTCTCTGTCTGCAACCTGAGGATTCCATTATGGTCAAACACAATATGTGCACCGTTTACATCAAGCAGCGCACAAAAGCAATGCCAAGGAACCAATTTCCTCTTACCTTCATGAATAAGAATCTCATTCATCTTCCTCTGTGTGCATTCATAAAGGGAGACAAGAGCTGAGTGGAGACCTTTTATCAAGCTGTCCCTTACATTTCCACAATGGTCTGAGGACAAATGCGGGCGGAGAGGGAGCAAATCTTTCCTGTTGTTTAGAGAAAAGAACCCGGCAGCATTAAAAAGCTTGACTCGAGTGTTTACTTTCAAATTCCGTTTTTTTTTTATTTCTCTGTCGCAAGGACTTTAATAACGCTCATAAATGTTGCTGCAAAACCACAAACAACAATCACTATTCCCACCATGAGTCCGTCATGCTAAGATGGTACATGTCAGATCGATTTCCTCACACTGACATTCACACCCGGCCCTCACAATAACCCCCTGCTGTCCTTAAATCACCCCACACTGGTAGCAGAGCGACTTCCCATCCATCCATCCATTTAACATTTATACACACACACACACGTCAGATGCACACCCCCCTGATCATGTGCCTCTGTTGTTAAACAGCAGGTAACATTACATCAAGGATTTATTCTTAATTACTGTTAGGATACTGATAAACACAGGAAGAATCCAAAGAGAGTGGGGAAATATATAAATAAAGGGAAATAAAGGTCAGGGTTGTGGTTTTCGTGATGTTTTCTCAGGTGGAGAGGGGAGACACACCACCGCCTTTCCCCCTCAAGCTTGTAAGTCTGTCTGCTCCTCTCCACAGGAGTAAAGGTCAATGATAAATCACATCAGAGCCACTTTGCCGTAATTGAGCGAGGGTTTAATGCGCCTCGTTCCTCAGTTGTCCTCAAGACGAGAGGCAGGGGGAAGCTGGAGAGCCTCACAGTGACCTAACAGGTGTTGAGATCTCAAATGGTGAGGAGAACCACTTGTGTTTTAACAGGTAGCATTTTTAGCCTTCCAGTTTTTGACACTATTTCTGTTCTGCCATAGCCATGAAATCTCTTTAAGACCCTGAGTTTGCATTGTAAAGTCTGCCATGTCTTTAATGGATTTGAATGGTTTTAAAAAGGTAATCTCCATGACCCTGAGGAGGACACATATTTGCACAAGTGTAAGTACAATCCTAGCTTGTCTTTGTCTCTTGATGATATTTCTTAGTGGAAGCTCTTAGTAAGTTTAAAAAATAATAACAATTTGGGATTATATCATAAAGATGCTCTTGGCTTGCCCCTAGTAAGTGTTACAAGCTGTAAAGTACCTTTCAGTGGTAGGTACATTACAAAAGAGACATTTAGGTGCAGTGCATTTACCATTCACAGCCATAATGCTGAGCGTGGGCCGGCAATACAGGTCAAAAAAGAATGGGGGAAGTCACGGTTGCTACATCCACTCCATTTATGGAGTCAATGGTTTATACCTTCCTAAACATTTTTTCTTAGCAGAGCCTCTGAATACATAAAGATCTTTGTGAGTCACATCTATTGCTCACCTTCTTTTTTGTGAGGGCATGAGGCGACCACGTTTGGACAACAAGTTGAATTTGCATGGGTACATTTTAATCGTTGATCCGTCAGTGCTATAGATATCAATAAAGGCAGCTACACCCTTAAGCTTACCATGATTTCACTCTTAATGGGACCATCATTTACAAAATTAAAATCATACTTGATTGAAGAAAACATGATACTGGCAATTGGGACAAAACATTTTGTCCCTGCTTCCATACTATCAATTTTCCTTTTTACAACTATTGTTATTTGCACGGTAAATCATGCACATCTGCTCCATTGCATCGTGGTCTTTATACTTTCTTATCTGATTCTATATAGGTTCCCAGTCAGCAGCAGCACTGCTAATTTGTATAGCTTTTTACTATTTTGGCCTGTAATTCTTTGTACTAATGGTTTACCACAACAACACTAAGTCAAATTCCTTGTGTGTAAATGAACTTGGCAGTAAGAAGCGATTCTGATTATATTCGCCCCCTGCTGGTCATTTGAGATATGTTTAAGGCTGCTTTTACTTTACTGTGAAAATCAAGAAACAACATCCACTTCTTATATGAAGTCTATGATTTGAACCCATTGAGTTAATCTCCACATTTATACACTCTCCATTAAAACCACATTGATATTCTGGCAACAAAAGTGGCTTTAAGTTTGTCGACTGTAAACAGCAGAAGCAACTGAAGCTTATGCAGAAGATGTGCCTGGCCCTGTTCATTTTGCATACCCCAAAGTAATTCAATTATCACTTGGCTTGGGTCCTCTCTAGTTTGGGGCTTCTCATTGAGTTTATCCACAGTTCAAAGACAACATTTTTTCTGATGCTGCTAAAAGGCAAGCCATAAAACACAGTATAAAGTCTTGAGCTCTAAACAAATACAGGAAGCCATAGCTACAAACACTCCCCATTGAAAGAACATAAATTATGTGCACATAAAAACTGTCTGAGTCCTATTCAGGCATGAGTGAAATATGGCACTGTGCAGAGATTTGCGAGTCTGCTGGGCGGCGTAATGCTGGGATGATTATTTTTTGACGGCAGGGAAAATAAAACTGTCAGCCTGCATAAGTCATAATTAATTGAAATTAATGGAACCAGTTTGGGTCTAATCATCGCATAACTTGCAGCACCCATTTCTGGATAAAAAATGTCAGTACTCACACTTTGAAATAGATGGCTTCTGTAAATACATTTTGGGCATTTAATCATCTTTGTAAATGGGATGCATTACTCGGAAGTGATTAAAATGAGGGAAATCTAATACTAGAAAATTACAATAATTAAGACAACTAATGGACTTTCTACTCTGCCAATATGCTGTAAAAGTTTACATTTATTCTAAACTTGTCTGAAATAAGTTGAACGGAGGAGGCATAGTTTCAGTTACAATAAAAACATAACAAATGACACACTATATGAAATTTATTCCATTGGAAGTAATGTACAAGAATGATAAAGCTGGTTTGCTTTAAATCTTACACTCAAGTTTATACTGCTGTACATATCACATCTGCCATCACATACAGGATTCAACTGTGCTCACTAATACACCAGGGGCTTAAATAAAACACAGCTGACAAGGTGAGGGACAAATGAGAAAAAGTTAAGTGAACAGCTCCTGCTGGGTTTACACTGTATACATGTAAAAAAAAAAAAAAAAAAAAAAAAAAAAAAGTAGAATAACTCAAATCTAAAAGTATCGATGGTCAGAATATCATGACATGTAACGTTCAACAGCTAAAATGGCCTTCGCTTTACTGTGCAGTGACACTTTATCAGAGGCAGAGGCTGACATCACACATACGGTAGTTATCAGTTTAGCTTCACTTGCTTTATATTTCCGTTGTTTCACTCAGTCAAAGTTAACACGACACTGAATGATGGTAACATAAAGCAGAGCAGAAAACAAGTGTGAAAAAAAAGAGAAATCATGAGCCTCTTATGCAATCTTCCACCTTCACTAAAACAAAAAATCGGACAGAGAATTCCTGATACAGACTCGGTATATTAAAATACTTCTCAGTCACTGGGTGGGTGCAGACTACCTCTTCATCCTCTAATATGATAGCAGCAGCCAAACGTTGCCTCGGTGTCCAGCCGCTCTCACTCCTTCCTGCGTTTCTTGTCGTGGTAGTCGTCTTTTGAGCGGCCGCTGGTGGAAGGCCTCTTGGAGCCACCGTGCTGCTTGGCCTCCTCCAAGAACTTATCGAGACCGAAGGATCCTCCTCGAACTGCACCGGACCTTCTCGCCTCTGTGCATGGTCGGCACCGGAGAACTCCTTGTCTGGTACAAATCTGATGGTGGACGAGGAATAAGTGTTACACAAGTCCATAAATTTTTCTCTTATTTACTCGTGTTTCAATAAGGGAGGAAGAGGACAACAGTTTGGAGGTTGTTTCTTTTTGTTTACTACAGGTCTAGATCCAAAGTATCCAACTGTTCCATGTAACATCTGTTTTTACGTCTCAGAAAATCTACTTAAGTCGAATATATTCTTCCATTGCTTCACAGAGCGATGTAATACCCTGCAGCCAGACAACATTCCTGGAGGACAATGACAAGCTGGTGACTAAACATATGGGACAGGCCATGCTCGACTAGTAGAGTGTGGCACCGCTGCCCCAAGGACGAGGGCTCCTGCTGGGGCGTCATGTGCACTCTTACCTTTCAAAAATTATTCAGGATATTGTTAGATTTTTGGTAATTATAATTAAGAAGGTTAACACTTTAGCTGCCCTGTAAGTAGTCTGATTAATATTGCCCCTTGATTTGGGTAAAAGATGAAATAATTCATGAAAAATAATTTGAAAGGGGGGTGGGGATTAAAGCACACACTTTTTTTATTCATGAGTTGCTATGGCTTTAAAAAATTACATATATAAACACAAACTTGACCAAAACTAATCATAATTAAATGAAAAATCCATTTAATCCTACCCTTGTATTTACATTATATGAGCAAACTATTCAGATTTCCTGACACTAATGAATTTCTCCACTCTTCGGTGTTTTGTTCGTGTTAGTATATGAGAAATTTACGGGTCCAGTAAAACAATAACTGTTTGTATTTTTTTTTTCCAAGGAGTCCAGGCACAATGGTACATTGTCAACATATGAATAGCCATATTAGAACAATAAGTGTATGTTATTGAGAATGACAAAACGACAACAGATTCCATAATACCTGTTGTTTTGCATGAGTGTCTCAAAGTCATCTGTGTAGGTGTCCTTATCGATATTCTTGCTGGGTCTGTAGATGTTTGAAGCCATGTCTCTGCCGCCGCGGAACGGCTGGTCATACACGTTGTATGTGTCGTCCTCACCACCTGCAAAACCACTATCCATACCCTAGAAAGGGACAGACAGAGAGAGGAAGACTTGTATAAGTCCAAAAGATAAATACACAAATGTACATCAGGGGGATTGTGAAAATAAATTTAGGAAATCAATGTTGCTCATTTCCTTTTTCAAAAAATAATTAAAAAAAGAAATGTGTGTTGTGATTCCAACAAGAACAGATGTTTGAAGGAACCTGAATTCTTCATGCTTTTCACACCATATTTGTACTGATGGAGGAGAATGGTTGCTATGATTGATTCTAACCTTGCTCTGGTTGAAGAGTCTCTGGTCGTATTGGGCCTCACTGGCAGAACGAGGGTTGGGCATGCCCAGAGCGATGAGCTCACTGATGTCCCTGTCCTGATCTCTCTGCAGCTTCGACCTGAGAAAAAGAACGACTGAAATTTAACAGGGACTCATTCTAATAACAACAATGTGGAAACATAAAAAACTTCAAAGTCTTCCTCTTAATATCATATTTCCTTAAAAATACATCTTAGTGGAGCTGCATTATAGAAGTCATACGAGAACTGCAATTTGACGGTGTTGTATTACATAATAAACAACATAATTTAGCATTTGAAATTGTATGCATGCCTATGGGTAAATCAAAAGTTACCAACAAGTTTGCATTCAAAGCTTTTGTTTAAATTAAATGTGTGCACCAAAAACACTTTCTGGAATAAGTTCTCAGTGACTTCCACATCTTGACTGTCCTTGAGCAAACAGTGTGTCAAAGTTAAAAGAAAGGTAATTTGAAAATAACAAGGTTTGTGCTTTCTGACAGCTGGAATGGTAATTGTAATGAGCTCTCCTCTGAATTTCAATTCCTCCGCTCCTCCAGGGACCCACATTTCTATCAAAAGACAACCTGACAGTGCACATACAGATCACACACACACATACACCGATCAGTCATCTCTCATGCACAGACTGGGATCACTGTGGACTAGTGCCAGAGTACTCTTCTGGATCCTGCTGTGTTTGTTCATATAACTGCTGGTCCCATGAATGATTCAGCAGTGTGGCTGTGTGTGTGTGTGTGTGTGTGTGTGTATATATATGAAGAGGTGATGGGTGTGTGAGTTCACATGTGGTGTGTTTAAAGTGCGTGTCCAGCACCTCTTATCAGGAGCAGCCCTGGAAATGTTCCTGTCGTGCTGTCTCTCTTTCCTTCTGTCATGGCGGATCTCGTCACGCTCTCTGGCCTCGCCGTCCTCACCACCTGCTGCTTGAGACGGAGAAATGGACGGACAGGAAGAGGGAAAGGGTGGTGATGAGACACAAAAATAAAAATGTAAAATACATAAAACAAAATGAGGAGGTAGTGGGTGTTGGATGATGGGATATGTTGTTGTTGACATGCAGAGGTGAAAACAAACATGGCGATAAAGAGCAGGACAGATGGAGAGCGAAATGAGGAGACAGAGGTGAGAGAAGCGGATGTTAAGTGATGTTAGGGATAATGAAAAAAACAGATGGTGTAGGCATGGAAGAAATGTGAGGCAGGTGGTTGAGACACCGTAGAGGAGGGAAGATTAAGCCAAGAGAAACCATTAGAGCTCAGTAAAGTTAAAAGACAAACACACAGATGACAGATGTTGAAATATATAATAAATATTATATTCGGATTTTGAATTATTTTTTCATGTCATGTTTCTTAATGCTCATTCAAAAGTATGCACTAAAAGAGGACATGCAACACTAATTTTTCTTTATCAAAATCTCTGAATTATCAGCAGGGTAGGAGAAATGTTTCACAGCTTGCTGCTCCTGTCATCTCTGGCAGGGTGAAAAATGCTGTCATCACTTATGCCACATATGTTCCAGATTTAGAAGTAGCAACAGCAACAAAGTCTGCTCCACTTACTCAGAAAAACACAAATGAGAAACATCCCTTTTGCCCGTTATCGACAGGACTCACCTTTGTCCCCATGGCTTTTGATCCCTGCCCTGCGATCTCGAGCCATCTGGGCCAGTTCCCTCAGTTTTTCCTCCTTCTTTTCCTTCTCCTTTTGGGCCATCTTCTTCTCAACCTGAGCTCTCATCTCCACTGCCTCTCTGGCCTATTGAAACATGCCAATATGATGTAAATACATGTAAATAGGCAAAAATTCTGTAATCCAAAACAATTAGGATTGATGGTGTACCTTTCTATCAGCGATGTAGAGCGCCTCAGCCAGCTTGGCAAAGTTTTCATTGATGTGAACTGTTTGCAGCCCCCTGCCATCAGCAGCCAGACGTTTGTCAAGAGGAATAGTGTAACCCTAAAAAATATCAATCACACCAGGAGAATTAAATAAGTTTAGAATAAAAAAATGGTGAGGGTAATGAAACTAGATTTACCATAAGAATTGGTGTCCTTCAAATCCATTATTTATAGAATATAACCTAACCCTCATGATCCACTCAATGTGTTAGACATCCACTGACTCTGGTGTCACATTACCTTTGCGTTCTTCCAGTTGGAGATGCATGGAGGAATCTTCCACTCCTGCTGCTCCTTGACTGTCATCTACGACAAAAAGAGAAACTCTGTTAAACAATTTATTTTGAAACCATGCAAATGTGATATTATTCAATACAGCATAAAAGTAACAAAATAAGAAAACATTTCAGCTGTACCTTTCTGCTTGGGGAATGCATAACAGGGGCAGGGGGAGAAGGAGGTCCCCGAGGAATCTTTTTATTGATCCTGAAACACACAATTATATCAATTTAACATCATTTTCTTCTAGCCGGGGGAATAGAAAATACACACATTTTTTAAAAAGCGCAATGTTGAGCATGCTGACAGCCTGTCCTAACAGCACTCTACACGAGCGAGCGTCAGAATCAGCCTAATTCTATTGTTTCCTATTGTGTCCTAACTGACCGAGAGTGACGCAGCGCGATGCGGAGCACCGTTTTTTCTCCGACGCCACGATTCTATTTTCCTCCCTGTCGCTTGCGTCAACGGACAGGGAACGAGGAAGAAGTGGGCCCTACAAGGCACTGACACTCGCTTTTCTAGTTGTTCGTTTGGTAGCTCATCTTACAAAGGGGAGATAATAGTTTATTGATAATATCCACATCTGTGACTGAAATATTGTGCTCTAACTTGTAACTCCGGAAAATAAACTTTTTTCCGGCCCACCGCGAGCGGTTTACTAACGAACCTCTGTGTTGTGATTTGAGTCAGCTGCTCGCTAATACAAAACACCACACATCTGTTTGTCTGCCTTTAGTACAAAGGCACTAGATGTTATTCTCTTTGCAAGGGGGATACTGAAATTTACAGAGCACAGAATTCAATATTTAACGCATTCAGTGTGGACAGCGAGCGTCCGTTGCTGCGCGACAGAACGTGACATATAACGCTCGTGTGCTGTTAGGACACGGTGTGAGAAGGACAGACAATGTCGGAAAGAATGTTTCAACTCCAAACTGATATGGGTGAAGGGGATTTTGAAAGTCTTATGCTCGAATCGGACGTTCATGGCTATCTCTACGAGCCGCAATATAACGACAAGCAGTTGAGGCTGCTGGAGGAACAGGAGGTGGCTGAGTTGTTGTCTTTCATCCACGAGCCAAAAAGACACCTTCTGCCTTTTCTCGGTCAAGAAGGCACCAACTTCAACATTTATTTCACATTTCTACTACATACATGACCTAATTTCAAGACAGATTTCAACCGGTGAAGTATTCCTTTTAAGTGTCAGTTTAATTTGACAAAAACTATTTCATTTTCAGAGCAAAACCTTCATAAAATGGATCAAACTTCATATTTAAGCAGAAATGAGCAATCATTAATGAAATTACATATAAAGACTGAAGGGAGACTTACTCCAGAGGAACTTTATGTGAACAAGAAATGAAGCATAACCTTCCAAATGGGTCTTAATTTTAATATTTATTTTAAATCATTCTGTTTCTCAGTACTTAATTCTCAATCAGCGGCCCCTCAGCCATTTCCTGCTTTTCAATTCAGATGGAAAAGTTAATAAAAGTAAACTACGAGAGGGCGCTCTTCAGGCTTTATATATATAAAAAATTTAAATAAAAAGGGCTTATCAGCTTTGTAAAAAGGCCTTAAAGTATTCAGTTAACTAGAACCCTTCTCCTGTATTATTATCTATCTAAACACTCAATACAAGCAGGCTACATGTTAATGTATTCAACATATTTTACTTACTTGAAACGTGGAGGTTCCATGGGATCTTTCTGCATTTCTACCATACGAATTACCCTCTGTTTGGCCCCCGAGTTAAATGCCACTCCCTGTTGGGACGGTGTGTATCTGAAGAGACAAAAAGGAATAAATGTGTCAAGATGCATAAAGGGTTTGACAAACCACACAAAAACAATACAGGTAAATAGATGACAAATTGTAATAAGACCCATCACTACCTTCATTCCCAAACAATGTCAACATGAACAGAACAATATTACTGTACCTTTTTACACTATGTGCTTAAATATGGTACTAAAATGGATTTATTATTGATTAATACCTGATGTACTGTGCTGGAGCTTGTTTGTCGGCTGCTCTTACAGGCATAGCAGCAGCAATCTTTTGAGACACTTGCTTATCCAGAGCAGCCCGAGTCTTTTCTGTGAGCTACAAAGAAGACACAACAAAAAAATATATTAACTGATTATATTTATATAACTCTAAATAATAAATGTTAAAATAAAAAGGAAACAAAGAGATTATCACTTTTTGATTGTGATATAGTGAAAAAATACTTCACACATACACTTCCAGTTAACATGAAATTGGTTCTACAGAACACAAAAATACTTTTCATCACACATGAACATTTTACATTGACCACCACTGAATGTTTTCTTTGAGTTCAAATTATAAAAATAAATATATAATCTTTATGAAATCAAAGCTATAGTCTTGTAAACAATTAAACCAGCAGAGAATGGCTTACCTCTTTGACAGCCTCCTCATCAGGCTTCTGAAGTTCTGGAATATCTTCATTCAAAACTTCCTTTGGAAGAAGGTCTGTGTACTTACTGAAGACCACCTGCAACAATAAAATGCATGATTGAAGTCATGATTTGTATCAGTGAAGTTGTTTTCAGAACATGTATCATGGTCGACTGTGCTTGTGTAGACTGTAAATTAACATAACATATTGCCTTTATTTTCTGATAACACATTGTCGGTGTAGCTACGGTTAATATTACCACAGCAACTGATTGAGCATTTAAAACTAGCTGGGTTTTGACTTGCCTAGCCTCAAAGGCAAGTATTGTAGGAAGTCAACTAAAAGGCAGGAGGCTTTCCAATTATTTACAAGAAAAATAAAACAAGGGTTCAATGTTCTTAAGGTTGTGCTTTTTAACTATTTCACCATCTTTGGGTTATCAGTCTCAGAGTTTGACTTACAGTTCATTATCTCAAGTAATGAATTTAAACATAGCACAGTGTTGTTGCATCCTTTTTGACTGCCTCGCCAGTCGTATTTGTTTACCTTATCCTTGCCCTGTCCTTGTCTGGCAATCGAGTCATATTTGATCTTTCCTTCTGCATCCACCTGAACCGCAAGGGCATTTGATGTCTTCTTCTTCCTGCCCATCTCCAGAGGAAACTGGGCCACATGGATCTCTGGGAAAGCACCTCCATCTCCAAAGTCCTGCAAACATAGACATTTAAATATATATAAACAGATCTGTTTGTGTTGATTCATCCTTTACTGCTCACTGGCAGTGATACATTTAATAAGCCATCTTTGACAAGGGACAATAATCACCTTCAAACATGTTTGATATAAATTAACAACTCTACAACACCTCACCTCAAATGTGCGAGGCACCCAGCCTTTCCTGTGTCCGTAAGGAGGGGGCTCTCTCCGGGACGACACCAGGGAGGTGGAGTAGGACTTCTGAGCTCGGAGCCTCTCCTCTGCCTCCAGCTGGTCCTGGGACAGCTGGGTCGGCGCCGGTAAAAAGCTGGAGATTAAATAAAACAAGTCAAAATATCATCGACGTGTTCAAGACCCCAGCTGCTGTAAGCTAGCGTTAGCAAGCTCGACCGACTTCAACAAACCAGCTTTGTTTTTAAAGAGTTTGACCTGCCAGACAACAAGAGAAGACCAGTGTGCAATCATTTATACTTTTATACAACAAAAATGAAGAATGTAGCCAGCGCTGCACTTAAAAGTACTTATTAAACTCTTGTAATGTCACCATGGCAGCATGTTGCTACGCTAGCTAGCTAACAGCTACTGTTTAGCTTACCACACGCAAATGTAGCTAGCTAGCATTAGCTGATGCCGTTAGCTTAGATTAAAAACAAGGTAACGATGACGGACGGAGCTAAAACATCATTTTGATTCATTTAAAGTGGTCTTTAAGCCGCATAACATAATGTGGAGCGAAATATTTGACAATATCGAGTATTAAAAGCACAAAAGGCCTCGTCGTAGTACTCACGTCGTCAGAGACATTTTCCTCTTTCTTCCTTAGCAAGCTACTGAGCATGCGCACTGCGTGAAGGGGCAAGACTAGGTTTTGCCACATCCCTTTTGTGTATTTTGTGTTTGATCCTTATTATTATCTTAGGATAAACTCTTTCATCATCCAATTGGGTTCGTTGTTCTACCACAGACTCTTTCCTATTATTATTTTAGAATCCATAATTGATTTATAGCCTGAATTGTAATATAAATAATTGAGAAGTCCAATTGTTTCTTTAGTTATCCAGACATAAAATCTCTTTTACATAATGAATATAACATACAGGCCTAACATTAGAGGTGAGGATTATCTTTAAGCAAAAGGCGTTTTTCAGAGTTGTGACCTGACAAGAATTGGAAGATCAACATAATATGTTGCTTTCGAGCTGTAAACTGAAAGAGTAAAAATTAATATTAATATTTAAAGTATGAGAAAGATTATATCAGTTCTGAGAGTGTACGTTGTTGGTCTAGATGTCTGGTCAGAGCCCTGGACTTTAATGGGTGGGTGCATTGCAGTAGATAGTACACTTATTGAATTGCACTAACAGATGCTTTTATAATTTGTACACATTTATCACATCCAGCATAGTGGTTTATTTAAATGATACAGTGTCAAAAAACCACTAGTGACATTATGATATTACATTTTTAAGGGATTTTATTTTCTCTGCTTAAGGGTCTTCCTCTGTTTCTTTAACCGTAATGGTGTAAGACACACACAGGTAATTTCAAGACACAATAATATAAATTATATGAGTTTAACAAAACAAATACCACCAGATAAAATATTTAAAGGCAAAATACATAGGAAACATACACTTTATCCTGGTTAGCCTGATTTCATTTACTGAAGTTTCTATTTCATGTAAGCTAGCCAAAGCCAAAGTGTTAGTATAAATGTACAGTGTTTTTAAAGTGTTGCAATGTAAGAATACTTCAGAAAGTTTGCCACTGAGCTATTATGAGAATCCAATAATATATGCCATTAGGTACTATACGCAGACCCTTGAAATATAGTGGTTTTCTACACCTGGTATCTTAGCTGCTTTGAATTCCCTTTCTTTGTAGATTTAAATTTGAACGACATAAGAGAATGGCCATGCCTATTTTTGGGGTTACTGAAAAGGTTACTTCTGTAGTGAGAAAACACCTGCTCAGAGCAATAAAGAAACATAAGCACCAAAACCAGACAACATTATCTTGTCTAAAATGGAAAGAAGAAAAACCCTCAAGCTGTTGCAGGGACAGCAGCGATGCAATAAAGCACTTGTTTATAACCAAGAGAACTTAGCAGAAGGAGAATAAAAGAGCATGATTTGTTTTTTTCTATCACATTGGAGGATTATGTAATGTCACCTTTATAGACCTTGCAGTAATGATGAAAGTGATGAATATGGTGACTCAGACTCTCATGTCTTTATGATCAGCAATAAAAGTGACCTCCCTGCTGTGAATGATAGGTAACTTGTTGGTCTTCTTTCTTTCTTTCTTTCTTTCTTTCTTTCAACACTAATCATTTTATCTCTGTGTCTGCATCATTTCCATCTCCCCATCACCTCTGTCTCTGGTCTTCCTCTGTCTTTTTTCCTTCCTCTCCCTCTCTGTTTCTCAGAGGAGGAGGCAGTCTGTCAGTCGTTCAGCAGAGACGCAGTGTATTAATGTGACACAGGGTAAAAGGACACGTCAAAGGAGATCAATCACCAGGCGGTGGCACGGGACACGAAAGCTTTTAATATACCCAATCATCAGGGTGCATCTCTTTGTGACCGTGCCTGGCATTTGGCATTGAGGAGCTTTATACTGTTCTGTCTGCCTGTCCCTGGACTTGCTGCATGCAGTTTGACTGATAAAGTGGTCATCCTTTCACCACTCAGCTAAAGTCACTCTACAGGGAGCTTGTAAGCAGTGCTTTAGAATTTGTATTGATATCTTAAGGAAGGGAGGATACATTGTTCTTTAAATGTCAGTTATTCTATATCTTCAAAAATGCGCTTTATTGATAAATGGATTTGATTTTTGAATGGGATCCTCTAAATGAAAAATGCATACAACGACCAGGGCTTAAAGCAAGTCTCCCTTTTGAGTAAGACACATTTGGGTAATATACTCATCATCTAGTCAATATGATAATAGGTGAAACATTTTTCTGATAATGAGGCCATGCTACATAGGTGGGGGCTTCCACGGGCCAAGAGTACTTTTGATAGGACCTGAGGTGGCAGAGCTGCTATGTTAACGCTCCCAGCACAAGAAGTTTGTGCGGTCCAAACCAAAACATGCTCACTAGTACCTCATCGTCATTACATGTCCATTGTGTTGACCATAGTGTTTGATTTTTGTACGATAACAGAGGATTCAGGGCAAGGAGAGAGAACACAAGAAACGGATACATAAGCACTCATCATTCACACTTTAAAGAAATTGTAAAATGGCCAACATCACACAAGGGGAGCTGTAAAATGAGGCTCTATCTTCTTAAAAGTTTGGCCGGGTTGAATGTAGAGCTAGTAATATTGCTACAACTAATCTTTAGGATACAATCCTTCCTGAGGTGCTAATTAGAGCAATAAACTTACACAATGTATAATACATCTGTTTGTGCTATTAAAATATAATCAGTGTCTTAGAGAGAAAATTCATACAAAATCATAATTAAATCTGTAGCCCTGTTCTTTAAAACACAATAAGCTAAACTATAGTAAGGCACTGTGGCATCAGTACATAGCCAAACTACAGTTTATAGACAGTTAAAAAAATTTTTTTTAAATAAAATATTTAATTTACTGATGTGTAAATCTCTACCCAGTGAACTGAACATGTTGTTATATTACTTCTGTACTTATGTACAATGACATATAAGAGAAACAACTGAAGCCACTTCCTGTAAAGGTATTTATTTTCACTCTCTTTAGGGTTGTTTTCCCATGACTCTGATTGGATTGGATTGAAGGGCTTAGCTGCCCAACATGAGCCACTGCATGTCATGTAGAGCAGATCCTCAGCCCCAGCCTTCCTCCATCATTATAGGTTTGCCTTTCTCTTGTAAATCCCATGTGCCATGAAGTAACAGGTGGACTTTAATTCTATCAATTTTCTTAATCTGACAGTAGATAAAAGCTAGTGCTGTGTTTGCACCTTCTTTAAGAGCTATGGGGAATAGCAGGCTGAATTATTTACAACTGCATTCATGGCATCCTCTAAATGCAAAATGAGAAGCCTACTTCAGTAGAAAGGGGAACTAACCTTTAAGTCTTGAGCATGGCTGGGGGATGACTTTAACAGTTTCTTATAGTGTGGCATTGTGTGAAATTACCCTTAGAATGAAATTAAACACAGTGAAGTGAACACAAAAAACCCACTCATGCTGGTTGTTTATTCACTTTATTCTGCCATGCAGAAGCAGCTAAACCCCAGGTCACACCTTTTAGGATTTTGCATCCAGCTGCAGTGTGGAAGAAAGAGCTCAAATTTCTTGTTCATCCTTGCAGACATTGAGAAAGCTCCTCCAGCCTCTCTTGATCCCCTCGGCCCCTTGAACGATGAATGTCGAACTGAAGATTGTGTCTTGTACTCCCTCTACTACTCTAAAACCACCCTCGCTTTGGCCATGGTGGGTATTTCCTTCCACTAGAGCAGGCTGATATTATCACGAGAATTGTGCTTCTTTCAGCCAATAAAATCACAGCATTCTATCAGAGATAGAAGTTCCAAAGAACATGTCCAGGGAGAGCAAAACCACGAGGATCCCTGTATCACATCAGTGCCCATAAAGCCCACTGGCATTGTATGCTAGGCGTGATGAATGGAGGGGTAAATGGGTAAAACTTATAGTTAGCCCTGTACGGTTGAATATGCTCCACTTATTCAATGCAAAACAAGTTCTTTTAAGTTGGGTAAAATCAAGAACTTGGAATAAAAGTTTATAGCCATTACTTAGAAAATGAATTAGATATTGAATTGTTGTTGACCAAAAATATGGCAATACTTTCTTTTCCACACTACTGAGATTTAATCTGATCACTGAATCATTTGAAAACTTTATGTACAAACCAATAGAGCGCCACAGGAATGAATACTAAACCCCGGAAGTAAGTTAGCATTTGAGCGCCATGGGGTCTAACGTCAAAAAATCAACTGGGATTTTGAAAGGATTTGTGGTTAGACCTGAAATAAGGTCTGTGGTTAACATAAGCTTAAGAGATGTTGGCGTTTTGTTAGACCACATAAACTACGTTATGTAATACCCCCACTTGTGAATTTTGAAGTTTTTACGCGTCTTTAAAAAGGCCGTTGCTAACAAGTGGCTAAATGTGACTACAGAGGTTGTCGGGGACGTTAAACATCATCACGCTGGACACAGAGGCCGGGAACTCTTTAACTAGTTGGAGATGTCTCATGTAGGTTTAATCTTTAGGTTAAGGCAAATATTAGGTTAGTAAACAATTTATGAAGCTACGCGGATTAATTTATCGGAGATCGTCTGAAGCATAACGCTAGTGACGTCACAATCATCTGACCGTGGTACAGTTTGCTTGTAGCATAACGTTAGCTTTTTACTTCTGTCGGCCGCATTAACACTTCAAACATCATAAAAATGGTGTTCATCTCTGAAGATTATCCTGCTGAACAAAACGCCTACGCTTCAGAAACGTGCGTTTGCCACAGAGCTTATTTTCTGCAGTGATCCAAAATCCAATACAAAAGTCCCATTGGGCGAAATCTTGTTAGACCCCATGGCGATGCTACTTCCGGGTTGGCCTACAAAAATACATCATATGGTTTGTTCTATATATCGGGGCATTTATCAGATACCTCCAGACCATGTCGAACACACTGGCTGGAGAAAAAAATATTTTGATCGTGTGACTGTGTGCTGTTTGTATCAAATTTTACTCCATCTCATACGAAAGAATGCCTTCTTTTCCTTCATAAAGCATTTTGTGTTCTGACCACCTCACACAGAGATTCCTAGAAAAATCTGTCAGAAAGACACACACACACACACACACACACACACACACACACACACACACACACACACACACACACACACACACACACACACACACACACAC